TAAGCATCAAAATTTTTAAGTTTTTGCTTACAATTTTTTCACTGGCTTGCCATTAATTAATAGATTAGTCCAAGAGGGAATTCAATATGTAGGTACTATCAGAGCTTCACGTCTCAGTAATTGTGTTCTCAAATCTGAATCTGAATTAAAAAAGGAGGGTCGGGGTATAGCTATGATTATAAAACAGAGAAAAATATAAATCTCTGCGCTGTTAGATGGTATGATAACCGGGCTGTAAATTTAGTTTCCACATATATAGGTGTAAATCCTGTAATTGACATATCTCGATATGATCGGTCCAAAAAAAAGTACACAAACATATCATGCCCAGCAATCGTTAAGCAATACAACAAATTTATGGGTGGGGTTGACCTTTTAGATGCCTTTATATCTAAGTACCGATATCATATAAAATCTAAGAGGTGGCCCATATATCTTTTTTGGCACACTATCATTATTGCAGTTATAAATGCATGGCTTTTGTATAAACGCGACTGCAATGCCTTAGACATGCCAAAGAAATCTAGGGCTAGGGCTATATAGGCCCTCTTTAGAAACTTTGGACGAAAATCTTAATAAAATTCGTCGTTCTGACCCACCCCTTGATGTTCGCCGAGATTTGGTTAACCATTGGCCAACTAAACTAGAAAAGCGTGGCAGGTGTGCAAATTGTAAAGACGGATCCACTGATACTTCTTGTGAGAAATGTAATGTAAGACTATGTTTTACTGAAAAGCGAAACTGCTTTAGGCTTTATCACATCTAATTAATTAGGTCATGTAGTCAAATTATGATATAAGTTCATCGAATTTTATTGTATTTTTAAATTTTATGTAAATATGTTATTTATATTTGACATTTGTTAAACTTTTCAATATTAAAACATAATAGTTGATTTCAGTCAATCTGTTGCAAGTTTATGGAGCTGATCCAGTTTCTTTCCCGAATTTGAGTTTTTGCTTGTGGACACCCTCTTTTGATGGCACATTGCAAATTGCTTTTTATTTCATCTGACAAGATAGCCAAAGCTAAGTTCCAGTTCCAAATATATTTAGGTTTGAAGAAAGTCAACATCTACCATTTACAATCAAACTACGTCTTTATTGTCATTTAAATCGCATTCAATTAACGTATAGGATTTCATAAGTTTGCGACCCTTTCGACCCAATGTTGCATATTTGCAACGTTGCAGAATTTTTTTATTTTGGTCAAAATTCAGATTTTTTTGTTCATTGTGGTTACAAAACATTACAAATGAGACATAACAAAACCCAAAGAATTTTTTCCTCAAGTATTTCTATGTCTGGGTCTCCCAGGGTTAAAAACTAGAGTGATGTCTTTATGCCAGAGTGATGACCTCTAAGCACCAGAGTGATGACGATTATGGACTAACCGGATCAACTCTGAAATGGTTTTCGTCATATCTTACTGATCGCTTTCAATATGTTGAGATTAATAACGCTTCGTCAAAACACCAGCAATTATCCTGTGGTGTACCCAAAGGATCAGTTTTAGGACCCATAATATTCACTATGTATACCAAATCTTTGGGCAACCTTATAAAACAGCATAACCTACAGCACCATTTCTATGCCGATGATACCCAAGTAATTGACAGTTTTAGTCCGAATCCTACGAGTCAACAACTTACAATCTGTAATTTGGAGCGTTGTCTGAGTAACATTAAAAATTGGATGTCAGCCAATACGTTGAAGTTGAATGACGATAAAACCGAACTTCTGGGTCCTGCCCAGAAACTAGATGTCTGCAACTTAAAGACTCTCAGGATGGGTAGTTCAAATATTCCTGTATCGACAGTTGTAAAAAACCTAGGTGTACTGATTGATTCAGGTCACAGTTTCAATGACCACATCAATAACATTTGTAAGATTTGCCACTTCCATCTGCGAATGATCAGGTCAATTCGTCATCTCATAAC